AAAAAAAAAAAAAGATGTTAGAGAGCTGTATGCAATGGTACATGTACTTGGGAGGCCAAAGCATGAGGATCACAAGTTCAAGAGCCAGCTGGGCTACATAGGAAGTTTAAAGCCAGCCTGAGTTACATAATGAGAGCCTGTTTCAAAAGAAAAAGGTGTAAGAGTATGTGTATTTGGGGGAGGGGGGAATAGTCTATCCTCCAGTCTATAGTGAAACACACATGGGACATATTTACCCCTTGTATCAGATACGGTGCTAGCTACTGTGCTTCTCTCTGAAAGGTCACTTGCAAAAACCTGCCCTATGTCCCTCACCCTTGGCCCAGTTATACTTCTTTTTATTCTGACCAGGCCATTATCCCCAATTGGTCGTTTTGATGATCACTGTCTGGCTTCTACTTGACTGTCTGTGATAGAGAAATCACTAGAGAGACCCTAATTCCCCTGGTCCCATCTGCCATACTCCTGTCAAGAAGAGCTCTATCAGGAACAGGTGGCATTTCAAAGTGCATCATAAAAGGAAGCCCAAGCTCGGAGGGTGCCACTCACCATCTGCTCTGCTCCCTCTTTCACTTCACATCTACTGAAAGTGCAAAGGGGTAAAGGAATCTACCATCACTAATGTCAAGGAACCAAAACACTCCATTTTAAAATGGGAGGTGTTTCAAAGGGAAAATTACCCAGAAGCACAGACTATAAATAATCCTCAACCATGAGAATGGCTGGCATTTGGCTGGAACACAAATACACTGACAGGAGCTTTCAGTCAAAGGCCCTGTTTAAATTCATGCTAACTTTGCTTTACAAGAAGAAGAGGGGGAGGGAGAGGGGGGAGGGGGAAGGGGCAACAATGACACATATGGCCATCACCCACTGAGATACTAAGGATTCTCCAAGCAGGAGAGGTGCAAACTTCACACTGAATTAACCTGCCCAGGTAAAGGACTCCCAATTTTTGTCTTTAAAAAAAGAATGTTGTGCTATGGTGGCACACGCCTGTAGTCCCAGCACTTGGGAGGCAGAGGCAGGCGGATCTCTGTGAGTTCAAGGCCAGCCTGGTCTACATAGTGAGTTCCAGGACAGCTGGGGCTACAGGGAGACCCTGCTTCAAAAAGACAACAACAATAAAAAAAGAATGTTGTGAGCCAGATGTGGTAGCGCACACCTGTAATCCCAGGACTCTGGAGGTAGAGGCAGGCAGATCTCTGTGAGTTCGAGGCCACCCTGGTCTACATAATAAGTTTCAGGCCAGCTAGGGCTACAGGGGAGACCCTGTCTCAAAAAAAAAAAAAAAAGAGTTATTTTTGGACTGGAGAGATGTCTCAGCAGGTAAGAGCACTTGCTGCACAAGCATGACGACCTGAATGCAAATCTCCAGAAACATAAAAAGCTGAGCATTATATGTGCACCTGTAACTCTAGCCCTGGGGAAGTGGGGTCAGGGTGTGAAGATAGAAGAATTACTGGGGCTTGCTGGCCCCCAGCTAGCTCCACATTCAGTGAGAGACTGTCTCAAAGGAAGAAGGTGGAGAGCAATAAAGCAGGGCACCTGACTTTCTCCTTTGGTCTCAGCACTTATGCACAGATGAGATACCTGCAACCTGCATGCATACATGCACATATACCACACAGTACTCTTTTCAACTCAGTGTGGTGATATACACCTGTAATCCCAGCACCTAGGAGGATTGGGAGTTCAAGGTCATCTTCAGCTACATAGTTTCAGGCCAGCCTGGGTTACATTGGCACCCTGTCTCAAAAAACTTTGTTTCTGGTTGGGGATGTAGCAGAATTTGTAAAGTGCTTGCCTAGCATGCACAAAGCCCTATATTCAATCCTCAGCACCCCATAAATTGGTTGTGGTAGTACAGCTCAGTACTTGGGAGGTAGAGGTAGAAGGATCAGATATTCATGGTCATCCTCAGATACACAGAGAATTCAAGGCCAGCTTGGGATACATAAGACTTTGTCTAAAAAAGTTATTTTCTACTTGACCTGAATTCTTTTTTTTACATTTTTATTACATTTTATTATTTGTGTATGTATGTGTATACATGTGCCACAGCACATGTGTAGAGGTCAGAGGATAACTAACAGGAGTTCTCTCCTTCCACCATGTGGGTCCCAGGGATCAAACTAAGGTTGTCAGGCTTGGTGGCAAGTGCCTTTACTTACTGAGCCATCTTGCTGGCCCCCATATTTGGCCATAATTCTTATTTGGTCATTCAGAAATATCTTTCCTGGGTATAGCTTCCTTCCTTAAAGTCTCTAATCTTCAGCTGCCTACCAGGTTGCCACTCCAACCCTCCAATTCCCAGATGAGATTGTCTTTGTCCTTCTCATTCTCGGAGTGGTGGATTTAAAGCTAAAATTCTGGGGCTAGAGAGATGGCTCAGTGGTTAAGAGCACTAGCTGCTCTTGCAGAGGACCCAGGTTCAGTTCTCAGCACCCACATGGCAGCTAACAACCATCCATAACTCCAGTTCCAACAGAGCAAATGCTCTTTTCTGACCTCTGCAGACACTGCACACACATGGGAGCACTTACATACATGCAGGCAAAACACTCACACACATAAAATAAAAAGAAAGTTTAAGCCAAAGTCCCCAAGGATCTCTGTGAGGCTGTAATCAGAGAAGAAGTGACAGTGGAACTCAGTTAGTGCCAGAAACAATGCCAGAAAAGCTGAGCTCTAGAAGCTTTAGCAAGCTCTCCTATCCACTATGACAAGGACAGATAAACTTGTTACTCTCTATTCCAACTTCTTCCAACCTTTTTCTGGCCACACTTGAATGTCATCATGGTATGATTTAAAAAGCCAGAAAGGCTACATCAGATCATACAGAAACCCCCAAACGCACAGCAACCCCACAACTCAGGACTGCTTTTGTCCTTTTAGAATAACTGACTTTATATCAACGCAGTTAGCCACATGGGTCAGGATGGAGAATAAAATGAATGGAAGGATGGATTGTAGGCTAAATCTTGTGAGGCCAGACTGCCAGGCTGACACTAAAGGCTATATGAACACTTACCAATCAAATCACCCAGCATTACACACCCTCCCTTGAATACCATGGGGAACCAGAGAAGTCTGGGCCAGCTTCAATGTCCTCCTTCCATGCTAGCAGTCTCTGGCTCCCAGGAATGGATACTGGATTCCTGGCAACCTCCAGTGCCACAGACTGCCTGATGAAATGTTCCAGAATCACAAGAAAAGATATCACACAATGCAAAAATTAGAAACAATATTTATTGTTTCCTATTAAAATTGGGTACTCTCAAGGGGAAAGAGTATATAAAAAGAGCCTTCCTACAGTCTGGCTTTCACACTTATCCCAGCAGTCTGGGACTGTCTTCACTGTGTAAGAGGGGAAATTTTCTACCTTCTCCTAGGAAATTAAACTATTCTATATAGTTTTTATTATTTGTATAAAAAAATCAAAATCTAGCAGTTAATTAGCTGACTTGTTCCTAGGTATACACACCTAGTCCATTTGAGTAGAGAGAGATGGGCTTAACATCTGGGCATCCCTCTGTGCACCCCAGAAGCCTGATGAGCTTTCCTGGCTAGAAGATCCCAGCGCCTAGTAAGCTGGCTGAAAATGGGCAAGGTGCCTCCAGAGAGGTGGACATCACCTCTTTAGTGAGGAGTACTTTGAGTGTAGTAGGGCCAGCAACCAACCAGTAGGTGGCAATCTGGCCAAAGGTAGTAGGTCTATAAGACATTTATTCTATCTCCAATTCTCTTACCTAAACTGGTAAGAGCAAATTCAAGTTTCAAAATGGCACACCAAGTTATACAAGGCAGAGAATGTCATTAAGGCAACAGTTTCACCATCATGTCCATGCACAGAGCTCAATACCACCATTCCCCTCCCCTCACCCTTCAGGACTACCTAGTCCTGCCCATTGCTTCTCAGCGATGAGATGGTTTTCCACAGCATCCAGAAGTCTTGAACAGTCTTAAGCCTCACAAGTTGGGGGCTATCCAATTAAGGATCTTCATGGCAATTTCAAAGCCAAGGAAACAGGCCTAAGAAGGGGTTAGAAGAGAAAAACCAACAAGAGAGTGACTATTTGTAGATACCACCTGCAGGATCATGCTTGGTTAGCCTTGTCAAGATCAAAACCCCTCCATAACCCCATTCCTACCCAAGATTAAGGAAGAAAGCTAAACCAGGTGCAGTAGTGAACTCGTAAATAACCAGCATTCCAGAGACTACGGCAAAAGGATCCCAAGTTTGAAATTAGCTTGAATTACCTAGTGGGTGGGACCCTACCAAAAGAAAAAAAAGAGACTGACAAAGGCAAAGGGGAGAAGGGAGAAAGGAGAGAAGAGAAGGGAAGGAGGGAAGGAAGAAACAAGCTATAGTCTCTCATTCCTAAGAGGAAGGCAAAGTACATGCTGTAAATTGGGTGTGGTGGCACATGCTTACAATCCTAGCACTTGGGACACTGAAGACCAGCATGGGCTACATAGGGAGACCCCATTATAGAAAAAACGAGAGTAGAAAAGGAGGAGGAAAATATATGTCTTACAACTACTTTAAAGTGCTTCAAAGGCTATCTTGGCAATTCAGAAAAGTGAGCAGATAAGGTAGCTCTGGCTGAGGCTGGGGTTTGAGTGCCCAATGCAATCCCAAGAACAAGCTCCCTGCATTCTGCTCTGAGTCCAGAAGGAAAAATCATAGCTCCTGCCAGATACTCACTGCATTGGCTGGGAAGGCTCGGATCATCACTGCATTGAATCCTTTGTACAAAGATGTGACTCCTTCATCCCGGATCAGCTCTCTCAGCACATCTCTAAAACCACTAGGATATTTTCCAGGAGGTGCTATGGGACAGAACCCATGTTTTTTAGGCTTCAGGAAGCTGCTTGACCTGACCATGGCAACCCACATGGGGATAATCTACTAGGTAAGTCTTCCTGTAGAGTCAGAGATAACACCAGAAACAGGATACCTTGAAGGACATCTAAAATTGTCTACAACACAATTCACCTTAGGGCAAAGGCCCAAATGTCTAGGTTACTGGTACCAAGGGAGCAGAAAAAAGTAAAGCATTAAACAACTGGTCATGTGGGAAAGGGGGAATAGATTTGGCTTCTTATCTGACTTATTTCATATTTAGGCTGACATGAAAGAAAATCTAGAGTTCCTAGAACATAAACGTGAAGGAGAATGTGAGTCAGACAAATGTTGGATTCAGCCACGGACATAATATATCCTCAGAGTCTTAAGACCTTTGCTCTCAAAGAAACAAAATAAAAAAGACCTCTGCATGCAAAGACCTTTGCACTCACTGAGTATGGTGGCAAACCCTGGCTTGTAATCCTAATGCTTGAGAGGTAGAGGCAGGAGGATCAGGAATTCAAAAGATCATCCTTGGTTACAGAGCAAGTTAGAGGCCAGCCAGAGCTACATGAGACCCTGTCTCAAACAACAAAAACAAAACCTCTGTACCTCAGGGTGGCTAATGGTAGGACCTACTCCATCCACATCCATACCACTCACCAGTCTGGAAGCGGGACTTGAGTACATCTGGGGGTATTGCCACAACCCAGTTGAAGATCCCTGCAAAGCCTCCAGCTACCAGGATTCGAGGTACACTGAGTTCACTGACACTGCAGAACACAAACCACAATCCCTGTCAGACAGGCTTGGCAGTAGCATTTAGATCATTCCCTCTGCCACAGACAGGAAAGTCAATGAAAGGGCTTCAGGCTGGAGGGAGGAGGTCCAACAGCCATGACGTGGCAGATGCTACTTCTTGGAGGAAGTTTCAGGCATGTTTTTAAAATACTCCACTAAGTGAGGCACAGAGTGAAATGGTGTTGGCTGAATCTCAGCAATACAAAAGGAAAGAATACATGGACCCAAGAACAAGCCTCATTTCTGCTTTCAGACCCACCCACAGGAGAAGACAACCTACCCACAAGTGGGGAAAATGGCTTCGACATTCTAATGCTCTTTTTACCTCTTTCCCTCTGGAGTGAAGACATTTTTAAGCCATTCATATGTCATGAAATACATCCCACTGGCTGGAACATCTGTTAGTGACAAGAAAGAGGCAAATTAAAAGTTGGGGAAATCTACATAGATTGGCATTGGACTATTCAAAGATTCTTAAGAAGTTCTTCGTAGGTCACGAAAGAAATACACTTAGGCAAAATATAGATTATGTAGTTGCTGGTGTCTAAATTCTAAGTGACTTGCATTATGATGACTCATTTAATGAATACTGATGGAATGTGATAAGCTCCAGAATATTTTACACTAATATAAGTTGCTGAATGGAAGTTGGAACCCAAAATTTTAATACTAAATCAAAAATGTATTCTTATTTTAACACCAATGATGCTAAACATCCAGTTGTATTTGCTTAAATAGTAAGAGAAAAATAAGACTAAATGTAGGATTTTTTAGCTAAATAGTTTGAAATATTTCTACAATCTCTATTGATTTTTCATATATACTCTTTGGAAAAAATAATCACATGCAAAAGGAACCTCATTACAAAAGATGCAATAATGTACATATATATTTGTTTTAAAATATAATCAGCATTCTTAATCATTGCTAAGAAAGGCTTTAAGTGTTCTTGCTACAAAAAACTGATAAATGTGAACTTAACAGCAGTGGTGGCAGCATGCACAAGATAAACTTAATCAGATAAAAACCAGCATAGAACTGGGGAAATGGGCAGGAGGCCCCCAACCCTAACCAAGGAACTACTGTCAGTTGATCACTGCTAGGCAAGGGAGAGTTGCTCTTTAAGGGAGTGACTCTAAATAGACTGAATAAGCTACAGTGGATGAACTCACAGCAAACAGAAATACACAGCTGGGTACACAAACTTGACTGTATAGGCTTTAATATATAAGACAGAATACATGAAATCCTGTGGGAGGGCAGAGAGGGAAGGTCTAAATATGATTAAAGTGTATTGTATAAAATCCACAAAAATTTAATAAAATTATACATTGAAGAAAAAAGATTAGTGATACATATATGTTAGTAAGCTCAAATTAGCAATTTCACAATATTTACATATCCCAAAATATGTTGTCCATGAAAATATATATGATTTTTACTTGTAATTGAAAAAATAATCTGGGAAATATTTCTATGGAGAATAGAAATGTTTCTATTAAATTTACACACATTTAATCCCAGCACTTGGGAGGCAGAGGCAGGTGGATCTTTGTGAGTTCAAGGCCAGCCTGGTCTACATAGTGAGTTCCAGGACAGCTGGGGCTACAAGGAGACCCTGTCTCAAAAAAAGACAAAATAAAAAAAAAAATTCTTCAGCAGCTACATCTGATTTGTGATAATCACTTTGTAGCTATCAGATGCTGCTGTGGGTCAAGCACTGGTGTGAGTGTAAACAAGCCAGGACATTTCATCTTTCAAGTCCCCTGTAGGTGGTCACCACTAACTTACACACTCCAGGCACTTATGACCACACTAGCTCATCTGGCCTGCCTTCAAGCTGTCATCTCAAGACAAGACTTGGACTGTCTCTGCCTCTCCTACTACCAAGAATGTTGCCTCAAAACCAGGAAGCAGTCTGGGAGTATAGCTCAATAGTAAGAACATGTCCTAGTACACAGAGGTGCCAAGGAGATCCCCACTCTTCCTCAGTCACTCCCCCCCACCCCCTTTTGTCCCTTCAGACATGATTTCCATCTAGTAGTCACTGTTCTCGAAAGTCAGGCTTTCTACCCCTGAAGACATGCAGGAAGGATGGGCTGTCCCTCCATCTTCATTTGTGTCTATACTGGCTAAGGTGAGAGACTGCCTATAACCGGGACACATATTGCTGGTTTGTCAGAGCTGTAGCATGTGCCAAAACTAATCTGGCAATCAAGGTAAGACTTTCAGTGGCACACTCTCTTCAGATGACCTTCCCAGGTGAACTAAAGTGCAATGCTTCAAAGATTACCTCGCATAAGGGTGAGCACAGTCCCTTTGTAGAAGCCTCGGATCCCAAACTCCTGATACAGCTTCTTTGCACAGTCCAAGGTGCCATTATATTTTGTTTCCCCTGAAGAGGCCTGAATCTAGGAGATATAGAAGTTATCAAGTTAGAAACAGAAACACTGGGATTAATAGACCCATACAAACTATAAAGTAAAAAAGGAAATTATAATCGTGTGTTAAAGCAATAAAAGATTCTGCTGTTAAATTATTTGAGATGTGCAACATTGGCAAAGGCACTATGAAAAAAGTCTAAGTAGCCAGGCATGGTGGTGCATGCCTTTAATCCCAGCACTTGGGAGGCAGAGGCAGGTGGATCTCTGTGAGTTCAGACCAGCCTGATCTACACAGTGAGTTCTAGGCCAGCTGGGGCTACAGGGAGATCCTATCTCAAAAAGACCAGAAAAAAAAGTCTAAGTAATAGAATCATAAAATACACACCTAGTGACTAGAAATAAAATCAACAGAAATGCTGGAAAACAAATTAAGGAAGCCTTCCAAACATAAGAGCATTCCAAAGAAAGGTATTTGGATGGTCTAAAAAAGAGACAAATACTTTAGCTACTCACTTATTCCTTTTACAGATATCAACTGAGCACTAACTCCATTCCAAACCTCACTGGTCACAAGGATTGGTTAAGAAAAACTGAACAGCTAAGCGTGGTGGCACACACCTTTAATCCCAACACTCGAGAGGCGGAGGCAGGAGGATCTCTGTGAGTTCAAGGCCACCCTGGTCTACATAGTGAGTTCCAGGCCAACTAGGGCTACAGGGAGACCCTGTCTCAAAAAGACAACAACACGCACACACACAAAAAAAAAAAAAGAAAAAGAAAAGAAAAACAACAGAAAGGCAGCATGGTGGCCCATACCTGTAATCTCAGAACTCAGGAGGCTGAGGCAGGAGGATCATAGGTTCAATGCCAGTCTGAGCTATACAGCTCCCCATGCTGTTTGGGAACCCTGCTGTTAAGGTTGGCTCCTTTCTCAGCAGGAGCTTCCTGTCTGACTTACCTGGAAAGTGTCGCCAAGCGCAGATGCTTGGCCTCATTTAAAACACGACCTTTGGCATAGTTACCTGGAGTAAAAACTACCCCCAGGTTTTTTCTATATGATGATTAGGCATTGCCCATTAGCTGGATGATAGGAGCCTACTGCCACTTGTAAATAAAGCATACTATGAGCACCTATCAACTGAAGCATTGGCTACTGCCCCCACACTATATTTTCCCTAATCCCCACTGAATAAACGGAGCTGTTTCACTGAACCTAGAACAGTTTCACTGAGTCTGGAGCTGTTTGTATCACTGAACCTGCCTCCCCGGAAGGGCTTTCTTCCATCAGTGCTCACTGGCCATCCCTGAACCTGTTTGTCACTTCTGCTCCCTTTGTCCTCGTGGACCAGTGGCCAACGACCCACAAGGGGAGGGAGAGACCCCACACCATGCCAGTCTAGGTGACTTAGGGAGACCTCATGTCAAAATTAAAAACCTTTTAAAAATTAGAGGAAAAACTGTGGCAACACTGCTGCCCACTCAGCATAAAACCAAGCGGGGAGCCTAGATTTCCCCTCTCATGAGATTGTAATGAAGCACCCAACATGATACTGGGGTATAGTCAGTGAAGGCCACAAAGAATTAGAACATTCACCCCTAATGTCGGTAGCCAGCACTCTCCCACCCAGTGTATCTGTGAAGACACTGAAAACATCGACACTCAGCCCTTAGGTGTGAACAGAGGCCACACAGGAACCTAGACCTCTACCTCCGCCTAAAGTAATGAGGTCACACATCCCCCCTTCCCTGCTAGGGTGATATTAAAGAAGACAGCTAAAACAGGAAGTTGAAACAAGATCCAGAGACAGGCATGCTGGCTCACATCTGTAATCCCAGCACCTTAGGAGGGTGATGCAGAAGGAATGCTATGAGTTCAAGGCCAGCCTCCTCTACATAGTTTCAGGGCAGCTGGAACTAAGACTGAGACCTGCCCTCAAAAACTTGTTCAGGCAATCACTTAGAGAGCTGCCTCCACCTTTATAATGGGAAAATATTTGTAAGCCACACATTTGATAAGGGTTTTTTTTTTTTTTTTTTTTTTTTTTTTGTTAACAAAACCTGTGCATTCTTTCCTTGGTACTCTAGGCTTTCTTTTTCTGAAGCTACCTGCCCCCATTCACTATATGACTGCTTACAAAAACAAGCATGGTTTTCTCTATTCTCCATTCTCCAGGTAGCTACAGTTTGCCTGCCCTGTTGGTTTTCCCTCAAACTCTAATAAAATTGTGGTGGCACACACTTTAATCCCAGCACTGAGGAGGCAGATCTCTGTGAATTTGAGGCAGCCAGGGCTACATAGTGAGACCCTGTCTCAAAACAAAACAACAACAACAAAAAAAATTTTTTTTAATTTTTTTAAAAAGGCATAAACATGCACACAAGTTTTTTTGTGGTTTTTTGGTTTTGATTTTGTTTTTGTTTTTTTTGGATCTTTTTGAGACAGGGTCTCCAGGTAGCCCGAGATGGCCTGGAACTCACTATATAGACCAGGCTAGCCTGCCTCTGCCTCCTGAGTTCTGGGATTAAAGGCATGTACCACCACGCCTGGTATACACAAGATTTTATACTACATGGAAAAAGCTTGTTTCCTTCTCACAGATCACACCCTTACCTGTAATAAGCACTTAATCCGTTCTCCAGGGGTCATGATTCCTGTGGTGAATACACCAGATAACATCCCAGCTGCAAACAGCTGCGGGTAGCTGGGTTGAAAACAAAAACCAGAAGCAACCACCTGTGATTAACCACCAAAGACAGAGGCAGTCCCCACAAAGAGAATAGTTTCGTTAAGAAAAATAAATACTTGGACTGGGAGGAAGCACAGCCACAAATAAATCAGATTTTATACAAATGTACCAGAGCATGGGTCTCAATGGCAAGAACAATAGGAGACTGTCCATGAAGCCCACATATATTAGGTACACATTCAGAATCCCCTCATCCCCTCAGCTTTATAGTGAGACATGGTTTTCACCCATGGGCCTGTAGTATTCATTAACTATGGACAAATTACTGGGCCTCTGAGAGCTTTGACTTCCTCTCTATGAGATGCTGGGTTGCTGTGGCGTAGTCTACCTCAGTAGACTCCAGTTTCTCCACCCCCAAAAGATCACTCCTCTGGGACCACCAAGGGCCTGATAATACTCTAAGCCAAGTCTCAAGCAGAAAGGCTTCAAGGTCAGGGAAAATGGCTGTGTTTTCGCCACAGGCTGAGGGGAGTTCTAAATTCACTTCTGTTGCTGTGATAAGATACCTGAACTAAAATCAGCTTAGGGGAGGAAGAGATTTATTCGGCTTACAATTACATTCCAACATTTTGAGGAAGTCAAGGCAGGAACTCAATAGCTGGTCACATCACATTCACAGTCAAGAGCAGAAAGAAACAAATGCACCCATGCTGCCTGCTTGTGCACTTCTCTAGCTTTCCCCTATCCTATGTAGTTCAGGGGACACACACAGACACACACAGACACACAGACACACAGACACACACACACCCCGCCTAGGAAATAGTGCCACCCACAATGGGCAGGATCTTTCTACATCAATTAACAATCAAAACAATCCCCCCACAGACTAACCAGACTAACCTCAACTAAGACTCTCTTCCCGGGTGATTCTAAGTTGTGGCAAGTTGGCATTTAAAGCTAGCCATTCACAGGCCAGAATAAAGAATTTAATATATGACACTGAGAAAAATTGTCAGTGATGGTACACAGGCAGCCATGATGGGTGCTGTGCCAACTGTGTGACGAATGGCTCCACAATGGTGTGACTTATGGGTTCTCACTCTAGTCTCCAGAGACTGAACCAGCCTGAGTCTGAGAAGTCTGAGGCTCCAGGTTTCTATCACCATAGTTGTCAGTGTTACCTTTTAGCAACTCCTTTTCTTTCTGGGATTACTAATAACACCATGCCCAGGAGGCAACAAGACACAAAACTACATTGAGCATTTTTAAAAAGTCCCACAACAAAGGGAAAGAAGGAGCTCAAGAGAGGTAGGACCATGGGAGAAGGGTATTAGTGAAGGAGAAAGGGAGAAATGGGGGTACCTTAAGTGGGAAAACCATGATGGAGGGGTGAGACAATGTAAGAGATAAACAATGCCTAGCTGGTTTTGAAAACCAGAGAGAATCATATTACTTCTACAACCTACTGACAAAATATACATAGCAGATCAAGAAATATATGTCTAGGTAAGGTTTATCTGAGAACAACTGGTCTTTGCCCAAGATTTATCTACATGACACACAGTAATTAAAAACACCAGACTGGTTGAACTAACCTTCTTGGGTATTCAACAGACATACTTTTGAGGTCTATAATAATTCGGTCAGAGGGACATAAAGGATACTTTTTGCTCCTTGCCTTCCTAGGTCGACTAGTTCCAGGGGATTATGAGCATCTCTCAAAATGTCCTATAATAGTGGTGGGTCACCTGTCCTCTTGATCAAGGAGGCCGAGGAGACCCCACCAGATGGACTTGAACCAGAGTGCAGTCTATATAGAGGAGGGTCAACACAGAGGAATCATGTCCTCCATGCTTCCAAGCGAAGCCAATCATGGTTGAGCAAGACCTTTGAGTTATCATCACATGGGTGGAAATGGTAAAAGAGAAGGAGCCAGGGGCTCCTCCTCAGCCCATGTGAACCCTGAGGTAGAGATCCTCAAACGACCTTAAGAATAAAAATAAATTGGTTTATCTGGGCCATCTCTATGGCCTCAAACACCCCAAAGGAAAGTATCACCAATGATTAAATTGGCCAGTATCATCTCTTAAGAGTCCATATGCATAGCTAAAGGCTACATAACAAGCAACAATGCCAGATAGGCGATACGTTCTTTTGAGTTGTTGCCCAGGGTGGCTAAAGGGACTCCCAGACAGTAACCCAGCATAGAACTGGGAAAATGCACAGCAGACCCCAATCTTATCTGAAGGAATATCGACAGCCGATTGTTGCTAGATGAGGAACAGCTGACCCTCCTAAAACAAAGACCTCTAGGTAGGCTGACTAGATTCACCAGAAGGCCAAGTAGTGGGGAACGGCTGGGGTTCCAACAACACAGTGGACAACAGCAGACAGTAGGAGGGATATCAGAGAATAAGGGCTTTAGTGGTGGAAGGGAGGCTATGGGAGGGTGCCATCTGGGAAGTGGATGTTTAGTTGAATAAGATGGTTTGGGATGTTCTGTGTCACACACACACACACACACACACACACACACAATCAACAAATTATCTTAGCTCTGGAAATTGTTATTGAATATGTCAATGCTGTTGTAATGAAATGCCTCTTCTAATTATATGGTTATTAAATAAATAATTAAAAAAAAAAGTCCCCACAATTTAGCAAACATGGCCTGTGTATCAGGCCCCTCTAGTCCAAAGTTCTGACAATTGAGCCATCAGGCCAGACCGTCCCAAAAGGAGCCCAAGACACAGGGAACAGATGCCAAATGGCAATGGGGGAGCATCCACTGAATTCTTCACTGTAAGCAGGTGTGCTGGATAGCTTCAGTGTCAACTTGACACACCTGGGTTGAGGGAGCCTCAATTGGGGAATTTCCTCTATTGGACTGGCCTGTGGCCATTTCTGAGGGGCATCTTCTTGATGAGTGATGTGGGAAGGCCCAGCCCACTGTGGGTGGTGCCACCCCTGGGCAGGTGGGCCTGTGTTGCATAAGAAAGCAGGCTGAGCAGGGGCCAAGGGAGCAAGTCAGTAAGCAGCATTCCTCCATGGCCTGTGCTCCAGATCCTGCTTCCAGGTTCCTGCCCTGAGTTCCTACATTGGGCTCCCTGATGAACTGTGACCTGGGAGATGTAAGCTGAATAAACCCTTTCCTCCCCAAGTTGGTATTGGTCAGAGTATTTTGTCACAGCAATGAAGAGAACAAACCAGAACAGCAGGGCAACAGTTTCAACAGCCCAGTTCTTTCATGCACTCACCCCAGACAGGGCTCACACATTTACTTCAAACACATAAGCAAAGCACAGCTGAACAGTCAAGAGACTTTGTTTTTCCTTTTTGACAGAGGTCTTATATTGCCCAGACTGACCTTGAACTCCTGACAGATGTCACATGCCCAGCTTATGGGATGTTTGTTTTGTTTTGTTTTTTGAGACTGGGTCTCATATAACCCAGCCTGCCCTTAAACTCACTTTATAATGGAAGATGACCTTAAACTCCTGATCCTCCTTCCTCCACTTCCCAAGTTCTGGGAGTATAGGCATGTGCCACCATATCTGGCATGAGGTGTTTTAAAATGTAACTGATCGACTCCTATCCTCAGGCCTCTTGGGGTAAGTCTATAGCGCAGCCCTCCACGCCTTGACTCCCCAAGCCACATTCACCCTTCCATCACCCCGCTGTTCGCTACTCCCAGTTTGGGACCTGCACCATTCCTAGTCTTGGGGCCCCAGACACCTGGGGAACCAATACTGCTTCCTGATCCTTCTCACCCAGACCAACTTAGTGCCTTTCTTGGGCCCCAGGAGCACCGCTTCTGGACCTGGCCCCGCCCTCACCTCTCTCTGTGTCCCTGGACCTGCACCACCCGCTAACTCTCCTAGCCTGCACTCCAATCCTCAGGCCTCTTGGGGTAAGTCTATAGCGCAGCCCTCTGCGCCGTGACTCCCCAAGCCACATTCCCCCTTCCATCTCCCCCGCTGTTCGCTACTCCTAGTTTGGGACCTGCGCCATCCCTAGACTTGGGGCCCCAGACACCGGGGGAACCAATACTGCATCTTGACCCTTCTCACCCAGACCAACTTAGTGCCTTTCTTGGGCTCCAGGGGCACCGCTTCTGGACCTGGCCCCGCCCTCACCTC